TTGGAATAACCCTTCTTTTGTTTGATCCTGTGGACCTCTATCTCCTAAAATAATAATATGCCAATTTTAACTTTTTTGAAGTGAGTGTTTTATTTTGGAAATTGCTTCAACCTATCTGATGATGCCTATTGATCACACAGTGAAAGTCTGTTTTAGGAGATGGAATGATTAGGAGACACACTTAAGAAACAGAAGTTCATTGGGTCAAGAGATTGGTTTCAAGTTCTGGGATGTTGGTAAGGGTGGGATGGAACCAGGAGCACATCAGAGGTTGTGCTTAGCAGATGACTGGAGGAGTTATGTGTCTGCTCTAGATCTCAGTTTCCACATGTGGAAAATGAAAGTGGAGTATTAGATGATCTCTACAGTTCCACCTAATGCTAAAATATAACAGCTCCCTTTGGAATAACAGAAGTTATCTTGTATGGAAGCCAATGAGTGATCAATAAATGCTAATTGACAATGGCAGTGATAAAGTAATGAATACTTGGATCAAAAAAGAAGCCCTTGTTCTTGAAAACTACAAATAGGAAGGCCCTTTTATATTTTCCATTCTCCAATGAGAGGCTACTTGGTCAATATATACAGCTTGGTAGAAAGAGAAGGGGTGGCTAGAGAGGGAGTCAACAGAGCATCTTTCTTGAACTGATTGACTTATCATCACAATATCATACCTTTTCAGGGTTAGTGCCCTTCAGGGTTCTGTTGACTGCAAATGTTGTTGTAGAATCTATTATAGACAGTTTTGATGGAATTAGCAGACTTACACAGAAAACAGGGCAGAATTACAGAAGATTCTTTGGAGCTATAGCATCCAGAATTTGATAAGGGGACTTCTTCAAGGTTCCATACTGGGCCAAATATTCTCTACTTGTCTCCCCATAGCTTATACAGATCCTTCTTTGTCCCTGCTATTCTCTGCCTAGAAAGGATGACCTATATGGATTCTATCAACAAGCTCTAGCACCCTCTAGCTCGTAGTTGGGTCTGGTCATGCTAGGAGGGAGGGAAAATGAGTTCAAGGTATTTGAGGTCAACTTGAGCTGTTGATGTCCTTTGACAAGCTGTCACTACTCCTCTGAAGGCAGTTGCTACTATATAAGCCCCCTGTCCTTTGGGTCCTGGTGACCTTCCTCTTCCTTCTCCCATTAGGTCTGGGGATGGTGACTTCTCTTTTGCTGCAAGTCTCAAGTTTATTCACTGTCCCAGTGGTTTGTCTATATTCTACCTTGGTAATCATTCTCCTTGTAAATTAACCCTCTTGAAATTACTTTGTGCTCTGTTTTTCTCTTGGGACCATGACTAATACACATACTATTCTACGAACTGAGAATGAAAAGGAAATGGCAACTGGGGCCACATCAACACACATCTTATCATGCAGCCCTCCATTGCAGCCTTCTGGACTACCTTACGAGTATTTTTGGTCACCTTCTCGCTTCTTTCCTCAACCATTGACTCCTTCATTGATCCCATAAATCAAGCAGGGAATAAGGCTGCAGCCAATTCAAAACCAAGCTTGATATGCTCAATTAATTTTCCCACTCTTCCCAGTATTCTTTCTCTACTGCCACTCCTCTTGGTACTGTAGACCATGGAATCCTCAAAGGCAGAGGTTTTGTCTTAGTCTTCTTTTGTCCCCAGAGCCTGGAATATGATAAATGCTAAGTAACTGCTTTTATAATGAAAACATAGAAGATAGAATTAAGGAGATGACTGCTTATTAAACCTTCTATTTCCAGACAGACCAGGACTGGTCTACTTCTCTTCCTTCTTTGAGGATGCTCAGTGCTTTTCTTACTTCCATGTACAACATTGCTGCTGTATTATAACCAGTCATGTGTTGGTAAATGGTTTTTGTTGTTGTTGTTTTGTAAGTTTTATTGAGATATAATTCACATATCACATAATTCACCTATTTAAAGTTTACAATTCAGTGGACTTAAGTATAGTCACAGAATTTTGTAATCAGCACCACAATCAGTTTTAGAACATTATTTTCATTATCTCAAAAAGAAACTCTCCCGGTTAGTGGTCATCTGTTTCTTCTCTGTCTTCTCTCCCCTCACCTTCTGGCAACCACAATCTACTTTCTATCTCTTTGGATTTGTTTATTGTGGACATTTCCTATAAATGAAATCACACAATATGTGGTCCTTTGTGAGTAGCTGCTTTCACTTTGCTTAACATTTTTAAGGTTCATCTAAGTTGTAGCATATCAGAACATGTATACTTCCTTATTATGGCCAAATAATACTCCATTTTATGGATATAACACATTTTATTTATCCATTCATCAGTTAATGGACAAAATTTGTTTTCACTGAATGTTGGTAAATGTTTAACAGCTAGGAATCTGGAAAAAAAAATCCTGATGTGTAGCACTTGTTGATTTCCATCATGTAAATAAGTCCTTCATGGCTGATTGCAAGCTACATAATGTCACTGAACATAGAGTTGGAAAGAGCTGCTAAAATAAAATAGGCTCTTGTGAGCCCCTGAAAGCCAGTTCCAGCATACTACCTTGACCATCTTTACTGATATTTCACTCAAGTTACCAGAGATGGGATCACATGCAGTGAGGTTTCCATACACTATTACTTTAGGATAATAACAATGATTATATAAAAGTAATACAACAGCCAACATTTATTGAGCACTTCCTATGTATCAGGTACAGTGCTAATCATTTTTTAAAATTTAATTCCTGACCATCACTATTTCCTTAGTAGCCTGCATCTCCAAACTACCAATATTCTGTGCTTGATTCACTGTCTTCTTAATTACTCCAAATGCATCGCATCTCACAATTCTTGCACTTGCCTCCTCTACCTGGTACATTCTTTTCCCTAGATATCAACATAGCTCCTTGTCTCATTTCCACCAGATCTCCACTCAGGTGTCCCCTCCTCAGAAAGGTCTTTCCACTACCTCATCCCTTATCTAATCCTTTGCCAAGTTTTGTTTTTCTTCACAGCGCTTGGTGCCAATGTTCTCTTATTCTCTATATTTATTTTCCTATTTGTTTATTGGCTGTCTCCCCACCATAATGTCAGCTCCATGAAGACAGGGTCTTTGTTTTGTTTACTGTTGCATTTTAAATGCCAAGGCCATGTTCTTAATCATGCTGACTAAGCTGGGAAGTGTGGAATTTGTGCACAAGGGCCTCTCTTCCCCCTGTCTGCTCCTCCTGGTGCTATCAGAGGAATGTTTAGAGAACATTCTGCCCTAGTCCCTGCATCTCTGTTACTAGTCCAAATCCTGCCATAGATGAGACTCAGCTGACACAGGTAGAAGACAATCCAGTGATGTGGCTAAGAGTGTGCCTTACTCTGGAGCCAAACTAAATGGATTTGCATCCCAGTTTTGGCACCCACTGTCTGTGCACCTTGGGTTTAATACCCAACTTCTCAGAGTTTTTCCATCTTTAAAATGGGAGAAGATTCCCCATCTCATAAGTCTGTTTTGAGGATTAAATTAGTCTCTTAATTTAAAGTGATTGGGGCACCTGGGTGGCTCAGTCAGATAAGTGTCTGACTTCGGCTTAGGTCATGATCTCACAGTTGTGAGTTTGAGCCCTACATCAGGCTCTGCACTGACACTGTGGAACCTGCTTGGGATTCTCTCTCTCCCTTTCTCTCTGCCCCTCCCTTGCTTGTACTCTCCCTCTCAAAAATAAACATTAAAAAAATAATAAAATAAACTGATCAGTGCTGGGACATCTGGATGGCTCAGTAGGTACAGCATGCTGATCTCCGGGTCATAAGTTCAAGCCCCATGTTGGGTGTGGAGCCTACTTAAGAAAAAAATAATAAAGTGATCAATACATAGTAAGTGCTTGATACACTTTGTCTTCGTAGCTCTGAGGACATCTTCTGGCAGTAATCTTTACTTACCGTGTAAGTCACCCGTATAAGCCTGCCATGTGGAAAACTGTAAAAAGTCACTACTTAGCTCTTTATTCTATTACCCTAATTGCTAGCATTCTGTAAGAGCACATCTAGATTGTCCTGCTGTCAGAGGGAACTGGATAGTTCCTAGTCTGCTTTTGCTTCTCACAAAAGAGGAGACCTCTGAGCATCAAGAAAGTGTAATCAGCCTGCCATTCTTTCCTGGGAAATCACCTATATTTAACCACTAGGTTTAGAAAAGCCCCAAGGGAAACTTGATGTTATTCTCAGTCTAGCTAGCAGAGACAAGCCATATCTGGAACATCCCTGGGTCTGTAGAAAGAAAAGCCTCTCACAGAAGAGAAATCCTTGCCCACAAGACCTAGGGTGTTGGGAGTAAAGGAAGCATTGGTGGCTTTGCCAGACTGAGTGGAGAAAGAAGGAAGAGATGGTAGGTCATTCGTGAAAAGAAGAGAAACCACCCAGTATGCAGGACTGGCTTGGAAAGAAGCCCCCTGAGGCCCTGAAGCCCACCTTGCTATGTGCCCCCTGCTAGGCAGTGTCCGCCTAATCCAAGGGGCTGTATTTTTACACCCTCCCTGCATGTACCACCTTTCTCCACTTCCTCAGTCAGGTCCATGAATTTGGTTAAAGTCGTAAGTCAGATGGGAAACTTCACTTGCTAATTTCGGGGAAATCCAGTTCCATTAATATTTACTGAAAGCCCACAAGGAGCTGGGCAGTATTAGTGGGCAGTCCCAGGAATCCTAGGAACCAACAGTGCACAGTCGCATCACAGGAAAATAATCTTCCCTGTCTCTGAGCATCCTCATTTCCTTGGAGTCAGCTTCTGGGTCTGATCCCTGCAAAACACCAACACTTTCCGTGTACTTGGGCTCCCACTGGGCTCCCCTGGGGCCTCCTGGAAACGCCGGGAGGATTAAGGGGTGGGGAATTGGGAGGGCTAGGGAGGTAAGGAAAGGAGGAGGGGGAAGGAACAAGGTGCATTTCCCCCTTTAATCGTGTTCCAATCAGGAGTCGGCCCTTTTCCCGGACTCCGATTCCGGCGGTCCAGAGAATATTCCAGGAACCGCCTGGCATCCTGGGCGGTGGAGTTTGGCTGGTCCGGGCGCCGGAGCCTCCCTCCTCCCACCTCTTCCCTCCCTCCGGGCTCCGTGCCTCACTCAGGGGCGTGTCCTGCCCTACCTCCCTTTCACAGTGGTCCACTCATCCGGTTACAGCGGCAGCGGCAGCAGCAGCAGCCTGAGCACGAACAGCGATAGCTCCGGGTTTCCAGACGGGAACTGTGGCCACGGCAACAGCTCAGTGGGGGGCACCTGTGCGAAGCAGGAGTAGCAGGGCGAGGGGGTGGGGTTCTTGCCAGCCACTCTCTGAGCCCGAAGGAAGGGGCACCTCCCAGCTGAGATTCCAGTGCTCAGCAGAATCTCTCACCGAACTGGGAATACTGGTGGGGACAGACATGTGCTGGACCAGCTAGAGGGCTGGGGTAGGTAAACATTAGGTCCAAGCATAGAGTGGCAGTGAAGCTGTGTCTGGGACCATGACGGCCTCACACCTGGACTTTGGGGAAGTGGAAACTTTCCTGGACAGACACCCAGAGTTATTTGAAGATTACCTGATGCGGAAGGGGAAGCAGGAGATGGTGGAGAAGTGGCTGCAGAGACACAGTGAGAGTCAGGGGGCTGTAGGCCCGAGGCCCGCAGTGGCCAGCACCAACAGCTTGGCTCACAGCGGTGGCAGACGCAGCGGCAGTGTTGGTGTTGGCCCTGGACCAAATAGCTCTGCCAACAGCCAGCCCACTCTGGGCGGCGGGGACTGTGGTGGGGTTCCCCTGAGTCCCAGCTGGGCCAGTGGCAGCGGGGGCGATGGGAGCCTGCAGCGGAGAGCTTCTCAGAAAGAGCTAAGGAAGAGTTTTGCTCGCTCCAAGGCCATCCACGTGAACAGGACCTACGATGAACAGGTGACCTCCCGGGCCCAGGAGCCCCTGAGCAGTGTGCGGCGGAGGGCACTTCTCCGGAAGGCCAGCTCCCTGCCCCCCACCACAGCCCACATTCTCAGTGCCCTGCTGGAATCCAGGGTGAATCTGCCTCAGTACCCCCCTACGGCCATGGACTACAAGTGCCACCTCAAAAAGCATAATGAGCGTCAGTTCTTCCTGGAACTGGTCAAGGATATCTCCAATGACCTTGACCTTACCAGCCTGAGCTACAAGATCCTCATCTTTGTCTGCCTCATGGTGGACGCTGACCGCTGCTCTCTCTTCCTGGTGGAAGGGGCAGCTGCTGGCAAGAAGAGCTTGGTCTCCAAATTCTTTGATGTGCATGCAGGAACCCCACTGCTGCCCTGCAGCAGCACAGAGAACTCAAACGAAGTGCAGGTCCCCTGGGGCAAAGGCATTATTGGCTATGTCGGGGAGCATGGAGAAACGGTCAACATTCCTGATGCCTACCAGGTAGGACTTTGCATTGTCCCCCTTCCAGAGCCCCACTGGCTTGGAAGCTAAACCTTCTGTTACCCCTTGGCATCCAGGAACACATTAATTTAGACTCTTTACAGCACTAATCTTGCTACTTTTAAATTCCTTCTGAGTTTAGACCAGTTAGAATGTTACTACACCATCGTTGATATAATGGTCTTTTCCTAACCCACAGGGCTTGTAAACATTTCATATATCACAAGGACTACATTTTGCAGTCAGTAATATCACATGTTTCTCTGTCAAGATTCCTTGTCCTTAAGAATATCAGTGTATGGTTTTAGAACGGATTTGTGAGGTGCTAGGAAAAAGTGTCTACTCCAGAATAGTAGTGTTAGTCTGAAGAAAATGGCATGTTGGTGTCTCTGATGTCTTTTGGGACTGTAATAAATTTCATTCTCTTTCAGGGTTGGACAGGGAACAGAGTACTGAACTAGAACTATTTTCACATCCCTTTACCTAGCTTAAAGTTGCATGCATTTCAAGGTAGGGAGGAAGAGGAAAAGAGGAAGAAAATCAGGGGAAGAATGGGCCTCTGGCTTATTTGTGGCTTTTTAATTGTTTCTGTTACTGAGTTTAGAGAGGCTGGACAAAATAGAGGGATTATTTATCTTTGGGTTTGAATACAGCATTATCTGCAGCCAGCTTTTGATAGGACTGAACAAGTAGGCTTTTAGTTTGTGAAATGAACAAAAATTGATAATTTTTTAGCAATTCCAAAGGCAGTCAGTAGGGTACACATGCTAGTTTCAAGTGGAAAAGGAAACACAACATGCTGTTTGCTGGTATTTCTAAGCGTTTCATTTTCATAGTGATTTGAACGTGATACTAGGTACCAGATCTGAAAGCTAGTCAGTTCTGATTCTTCAGTATCTATTCACTGAACGTGATAAACTGGATGTACTTTCTATGAGACTTTTCGGGGTTCATAAGAATTGAAAGTTCTTAGCCTTGGTTATGAAAATTTTGTGGTCATTTGATGAGCACGTCTTCCAGCATCTAATAGAGCCACCTGTTTCTCGAGAGTTTGGTTGCTGTTGATCAGAATAGCAGAAGTGGTGGGAGGGGCACTGAGGGTAAAACTTTATTTTATCTGAAAGTTGACCATTTTACATAGAAAATTGACTAGCTTGTACTAAAACCGAGTTTCACATTTTTTATGATGTCTGTCAGTATAACACTTTCATAGTAAGGGATGCCAGTCAAAATAACCATTTTCATTCACCTTTTGTTATTGATTAGGTGTGTTATTCATTATATCCTTCTTGAAGAGATAGTTTTAGGTCAAGCAACCAATGAATGAACTTTCGCAAGTGTCTGTTTCTCTATAATCTTGGAAAGCAATAGAAAGAAGTGAAAACATTTAACAATCTTTATGGTGAAGATTCTGTAAGAAGTTGAACAATCACAGTCTTTTGTTTCCCATTACTTCCACATTCTTCTTGTGAGCTTGGGCTAAAAAAAAAAAAGAAAAAAGAAAAAAATCCCTTCCTAGTTGGATGACACTTGTTAGAGCTTGGAATTGCAGTCTATTCTCTTCATTGCCTTTACTTTTCTTATTCTTCCCCAGTTGATATTTTCCCATTTCTGTAGCTTTTATTTCTTGCTCTCCTTCAACTCCTAACTTGTATTTAAGACTGTTCACATAACTGCCTTTTCTTCAGGAGCAGAATTCCAGCTTCCTCAGCAGTTTACTTGTCTTCCTGCTGCCTAGAATTGTGGCTAGAGGTGTTGTCAGAGTTACAGAAAATCAGATTTTCAACAGCTGATATTTCTTCTGGGCCCTATTTGTACTCTGAAGGCAGAGTGTAAAGCAAAGTTGCCTTTGATATTTGGAAACTGACAGTGGGAAAGTCCCCAGGGTGGTAGCAATAGCTGTAAAGAGGACCAGGTTGTTGGGAGGACTGGCAAAGGGAACATAAGGGAAGGTATTATATAGGCTGAGTTGGAGATCTGGGTTATGCCTGGTCTTCATTTCATCCTGGACAGAGAGTTTCTCTTTTATTTCACCATTGGCTTCTACTGTATATTTCTGTATTTTTAACCTGGTGTGTTTTTTCATTTTTTTAATGCCACTTTTCTTCAGAAAAACTACTTTTTTTTTTTTTTTTTTTTTTGGTTTATTATGATACACTACAGTCACCATTAGTGTGACCTTGGGAGAATTTCTTTTTTTTTTTTTTAATGTTTATTTATTTATTTTGAGGGAGAGGGGCACACAGAGAGAGAGAGAGGGAGAGAGAGAGAGGGAGGGAGAATCCTAAGCAGGCTCTACAACTGTCAGCATGGAGCTGGATGCTGGGCTTGATCTCACAACTGGGAGATGATGACCTGAGCCAAAATCAAGAGTCAGACACTCAACCAACTGAGCCACCCAGGTGCCCCTTTGGGAGAACTTCTTAATCTCTGAGTCTCAGTTTTCTTACCTGCAAAATGGGAATAAGAACATGTATGTGACAAAGATAAGATAATTATTTGGAAAATAAAATGAATATTGCATTACAGCCCCTAAAACAGTACCTGCCACATTGCAATTACTCAGGAAATGGTATCAATTTATGATGATAATGATGACACAAGTCTACTAGAATTCTTTTTCTTTATCTCATTTTCAGTTGTTTTTCTCCTTATCTGGGACTGAGATGTGGACTCAGCACATTTTGACCAACCTACTCTTTCCCTGAGCCATGTTCTATTCTTAAATTAAGTATTTTAGAACTGTCTTTACATTTGAGGAATATAGAAATATCTACCCTTCTACATTTCTCTAAATGTGATTGATAACACATGATTGACCCTATCCTATCCTATCAAGAGTATTATACTTTGTGCCTTTAAGGAACTCACACTATATAGATTTTTTATGGAGTTGTATTAATGTTGCCTCCTTCCTACATTTTAGCATTTTTCCCCATCCTTTCCATTTCTGACTCTTACAGATTTTTCTATGAATGGAAACTGACAACCTTTCAAATGCATGTTCTTTTATCATGATGTTGTTGTAATTCTGATAATACATGAACATTCTGAAGTTTCTTTGTAAAAATATAACCATTCCCTCTGATATTTTATTACCTAGTATGTTTTTAAGGTGTTTCTTGCTCAGATTCAACTAGTGTTCTTTTTATTTTTCAGGAAGTAAAAATTTTTTATCATACAGAGTTTAAAAATTTAATCATTTGAAAATTAGACTGATGATCCTCTTGGGTTCACAATATGGGTGAGAGAAAGGCATTAAAGATACTAATGAAATCATGATAATAAGCATAGAATTCTGGAGTCAAGAATAGACTAATGAAAACTAACGTTGAATAAAAGTTTTGACAGCAAAAATACCCTCCTTAGTTTATTTCATTATTTTTCATTACTTCTTCAATTAGTCCTAAAAAAAAGACTTGGGGCACTGGATGGCTCAGTTGGTTGAGCGTCTGACTCTGGATTTTGGCTCAGGTCATGATCTCATGGTTTGTGAGATTGAGCCCTGCGTTGGGCTCCATGCTAACAGTGCAGAGCCTGCTTGGGATTCTCTCTTTCCCTGTCTCCCTCTGTCCTTCCCCCACTCTGTGTGTGTGTCTCAATAAATAAATAAATAAATAAATAAATAAATAAATAAATAAATAAACATTTAGAAAAACAGACTTGAAATTAGAAGAAAAAATTGCAAGTGGAAAAAAATTCATTTTAAGTATCCAGTATGGATCATAGTGACTACAATTTACCTTTTTTCCCTGACAGTTATAAGTTATTAAACAGCCCACTTTAATATAGTAATGAAAAACTTGCCCTCAAGAGGTTGAAAATAAGAGCACTCAAGTAACAGGTGTTCTCTTTGAGATTATTCTAAGCATTCAGAATATAGCACTTTAAACATTAATAAAAAGTGTGAGATGATATTTTTGTTGGTGTTGATAATGATGATACAGGTGTTTGATGGGCTTTGGGTCTGAAAAGCAGCCAGGATGTTTTGTTAGGTGAACTGGGAGGAGGAAAGGGGATGACGCAGCAGGGTTACAGGTGTGCCAGGCTTTCAGAAAACCTGATCTGTTTACACAACAGATTTACTTATTTGTTAGTTCCAGCAAACATACACTGAGCTCCATTATACCTAAAGCCTGGGTAGGGGGACTGCGAGCATACAGAGGTGAGAGAACATGTTTTTTGCCCTCCCAATGCTTATAGTTGAGAGGCATATACTATACACAAATAAATACCAAGCACTATACTTAATAAATGTTACAAACTAAATGACTAGTCTCAGTAGACAATGGATTCACATTATGATTGGGCTCATGATGGAAGACTTCATGGAGGAGATGCCATTCAAGCTGAAAAAGGGGTTAGATTTCACCATTGGAGATGGTTGTGGGTTTGGCGGGAGTGATCCAGGTGTAGCAAAATGGCATCAGAGACACAGTAATGAGCGAGCACAAAATGTGTACAGGGGACAGTGAGTGCTTTAATTTGGACAAAATATTGCCCATGCTGTAGATTGAATATGCAAAAGTAGCATGAGGGCAAAAGAAGAAAGAACCTTGAATGCCTGACTAAAGAATTTGAATTTCATTAACAGTTGGTTAGTCAGTGACTAACAGTTACAGGGAGCCCTTAAAGACATTTTAGTAGGATCAGAGTGGTGTTTTTGGTACCTTGGTGTCAGTGGCTGAATGGATTGAACAGGGGGAGGCTCAAAGCTGTGGGGTGCCTGGGTGGCTCAATCGGTTAAGCGTCTGACTCTTGATTTCGGCTTAGGTCATGATCTTGCAGTTTGTGGGATCAAGCCCCACTGTGGTATTAGTGCAGAGCCTGCTTGGGATTTTCTCTCACCCTCTCTTTCTGCCCCTCCCCTGCTCTTGCTCTCTCTAGGAAAAAAATAATAATAATTAGGAGTCTATTATGATGGTCTAGTAGAGCCATGATGAACAGCTGAACTAAAGCAGGAACCGTGGGAATGGGCAGCAGGGGACAGATGGAAGATG